TCCCTCCATCTCCATCTGTTTCCTTCCCCTGCTCCTCTATCCTTGAGAAGCCTCAGTCTACCCAGCTGACTGCCTCCACCTACTAGGAATTTGCAGCAAGTTCTCCAGGGACTCTGGCCAGCAACTCTACTCTGAGTCACACTCACAGTAACAACCAAAAAACCGAGCTCTCCTTGAGCTCAAGTCAAACGGAATAAAAATAAGAGATAGTCATTTAAAAATAAGTCAACCCTGTCACTAGGGAGGACATAGTGCCCCCCTCCCCCCCGCAAAAAAAAAAGTCCCTGTGCAATTTATGAATGATGGGGACAGAGCCTCCAGAAGGTGGACCGGTTGTCCCTGCACAGGGACACCTGCCAAGGGCACAGAGGAGAGGCTGAGATCCAGCTTGTGTTCTAGTAACCCAGCAGAAGGGGCATGATTTTGTGAATGCTCCCCCAGAGGGGTCTGCCTTCTACTTTTACACAAATGCGCCACGTGGGCTAGCTGAGGCCCTGGATGAAAGTGCTTTTCTGAAATTTTGGCTTGTACAAAAATTCAAATGCAAACTTGTATCCCTGCTAGAAGAAAGTGGTTTCTTTAGTTGTGCTGTTTTGCATTCTCTAGATAGGCCCTGACTGCTCGGAGGCACCAGGCTGAAGCTCGTTATCACTGACTCCCGGGCGCTCCCAGGGCATCTTCGCTCACCACCTGCAGTTGCGGGCTGGCGTGGTGGCACATTCTGAGAGCCAGGCCCAGCCCCGGCGGTACAGACTCAGAACAGGATCGAGAAATGACAAACATTTAGCCAAAGGCTTTTGGGGTTTTGTTTTGTTTGTGCTTTCAGTGGGCTTAGCAGTAGGTCTGCTTACCCAAAGAGAGGAACAAGTGCATCTGAGAAGGAGCTCTGTCATGTGAAAGGCTATTTATTCCAGCCCTGGCTATTTATTATATCTCAGCACCTGCGTGCTGGCGTGGAGGACTGAACCTGCCTTGGGGGAGCCCAACTGTTCCCACCTTGGGATATGGCCGCACCTCGGAGGGCCCCTCTTCACAAAGGATAGAGCTTATCTCTCCAGAGAGGGTCCTTGCCCAGGACCCTGACCATCCCTGAGGCTGGGCCTTTACCTGGAACCTGGTACAGACACTCTGCCTCATGCTTAGAGCAGAAGCTGAGGCGACCTTTCAAATGATCACAGACACTATGTGCTGGTGGGGACTTGGCTACAGCAAGCCCCCAGCCCTCAGGGTCCTGTTCCCTGCCCTCGCAGGTCATGGCAGGCCCGAGGGTGGGGCAGGTCCAAAGCCAGCTGTGAAGGCAGCTGCTCCGTGTTCAGCCAAAGGCAACGTGTAAATACTGGGAGGCCAGTGTGCCCAAAGGAAATGTTTGTAGACAGAGGATCAAACACTCATGACATAGATTTTTGCCTCAGTCCCACCAAAGGTGGACAGTCGGTTCTCCAACACACAAGCAGTACGGCAGACTTCTTGGCTCTGCCCACAGCCTGCTTTTCCACCCCCATAAAATGGGCTTATCACACTTTCACTCTCCTCTCTCTACCTCCCAGGGCTATGATAGGGACCAAGTAAGTGATATGAAACAAAGTGCTTTGTAAAAGGCTTTATAAACTACAATGTGCTTCTCAGACACTGGTTCTGATAATAATTATTATTCAATCAAGTGTCCCATCCCCTAAGTGGCAGCGATTTGTGGGAAAGATATAAACCTAGCCAATTAATCAGTCCTTCCTGGAACTTCTCTGCCACAGCTATTGAAGGGTGTGGTACATACTGAGTCTGGAAGTGCCAGCAGCCACCTTGTCTGCCCCATGGTGGGAAGAAAGTGTAGTGTCAGAGGTAGAGAGAAACATATAGCCTTCACTACAATGTTTGAGCACCTGGATGTAGCTATGCCTGAAGCCAGAGGAACCCTGGGATTTACTGTTACATCAATCAACTTCCCTTCTTCTGCTTAGGCTAGTTTGATTTGAGATTCTAAGATTTATGACTAAAGGAATTCCAACTATCTCCTTGTTTATTTTAATAATTAATATGTATTAGTTTTATAATCATAAAATAAAGTTTTTAAGAGAAAAAGCCTTGTTAAAGTTTCTTTCTTTTTTTTTTTTTTTTTTTTTTAAGACTAGTCAAGTGCAGTAGTGAGGAGGGGGGAAAGTAGTAGAACAAGGCTTGTTAAAGTTTCTTTAAGTTAGTATACCTATCAGCAGCATGAAGAAGCAGAAAAAGCTTTGAACAAGGAAATCAAGCAACCTGGCATCTCTGCTGGATCCACAAGAACTGCTGTTGTCTTACTTTGAACCAGTTTCTTAACCTATCTGGACCTCAATAAAATAAAGAATTAAAGTTAATGATATCTAAGGCATTTTACAGTGCTAATCATCTTCAATTCTATGAAAGAAGACCCAATTAGTCTGACATAAAGTGTTCTTAATAAAGACTTTTTATGTAAATGTTAAGAATAAAGACTAATAATTTAAAATTAGTGGCAAGTATTTATAAAAAAAAATAAACAAATTACATATGAGATATCTTCATGTAAAATACACATTGCATCACTGGTTAAATTGGAAAAATTAGAAACAAAAATTGGGAAAAGTCCAGTTAAACAAATTGTGGTACCATTCATACAATGGAGTATTATGTAATTATAATCAAGAAATAAGGAACCTCTTTGTGGCCAATATCTAAGGCACATTTTTAAGTGGAAAAGGCAAAATCCAAGGTGGTTGTGCTGTGTAAAAAAAGGTGGGGAAAAATCAGACAGATGTAACTCATGGTGCCTATGTAGACTATCTTTGGAAGAAATTTCAAAAAACTGGTACCATTGATTACCTTTTGGGAAACTGGGTTTTTATATCCTTTCTATCTTTTCAATGTCAAAACATGTAACTGTATTACCTACACAAGATAAAATAAATATATAAAATATTAATTAGAAAATTACATGTAGCTTGTTAGAGCCTCACAATCATGCCAATGGGTCTTGCAATCCAGCTACCATTAGCCTTGGAGACCAGTGTTTCTCACACCTTAGTGTGCGTTCTGGGTTTGTACTCCAGGAGATCATGATAAAATGCAGATTCTGGATCAGCAGGTCTGGAGCAAGGCCCAAGATCCTGCATCTCTAATAAGCCCCAGGTGATGCTGCACACTTTGAGTATTGTTCTAGAACCACATTGACCAATATGGGTACCACCAGCCACACATGGCTATGGAGAACTTGAAATGTGGCTAGTCCAAAATGAGACGTGGGGAAGTATAACATACACACTGGAATTCAAAAACAAAAAAAAAAAAGAACATAGGCCGGGCGAGGTGGCTCACGCCTGTAATCCTAGCACTCTGGGAGGCCAAGGCAGGCGGATTGCTCAAGGTCAGGAGTTCAAAACCCAGCCTGAGCAAGAGCAAGACCCCGTCTCTACTATAAATAGAAAGAAATTAACTGGACAACTAATATATATAGAAAAAATTAGCCGGGCATGGTGGCGCATGCCTGTAGTCCCAGCTACTCGGGAGGCTGAGGCAGGAGGATCGCTTGAGCCCAGGAGTTTGAGGTTGCTGTGAGCTAGGCTGACGCCACGGCACTCACTCTAGCCTAGGCAACAAAGCGAGACTCTGTCTCAAAAAAAAAAAAAGAACATAAAAGATCTTACTCATAATTTTTATATTGATGACATGCTGAAATAATACTTTTTAAATGTTGGGTTAAATAGAACATGTTATTAAAATTCATTTCCCCTGTTTCATTTTCCTTTTTTTAATGTAACTACTAGAAAACGTAAAGCTACTTGAGGCTTGCATTATATTTCTATTGGATTGCACTATTCCAGGAGACGTGGATCTCCTACAAGCTGCATGGAGGCGGCACTAGACAACCCCAGTCATCACTCTGGGGTATTTGTGAGGATCCGTAAATTGTGTAAGGACATTGGAGAACTGGGGTGGGATGGAACACATTGAAAAATCTAGTCCCCACTCACCTCTAACAAATAAAACTTCTACACGAGTGAATCTGAGTTAAAGCAAACAATTAAAAACAGTCTTAACCATGGAACTGTGAGTGAAAACACTCCAAACAACTGTAGGTAGAGATTTTGCAGAGCAAACGAAGCCTAAGGGGCCAGTGTGGAAAGGAAGGAGTGACGTGACACTGCCAGGCAGCCTCCGCTGGTCTGCAATGCTTTGGTGACAGTGGAAAGGAGCATGTCAACTCTGTATTTGCACCACTGAACAGCACTATTCCCACCACGCTGAGTCACATCCCAGCTCTGGCACCCCCTAAAACAGAAGTGCCCTTAAAGCTAAGGACCCAGGGCAATCACTTAGCCTTGCTGCAAGCCAGATGCAGGTCTGAAGACAGCCATGTAGTCAAAACTGTAATAACAGATCAGTGTAAAGATAAAACCACCAATTCCTTCTGTGTGGCCACAAAGCAATCTGCATCACTCAGAGGTAAATTTTAAATATAAACTCTTCCATCTCCGCATCAGAGGTGAGTACAATTTCTAGCAAACTGGCCTTTTCCATGCAAGATGCCCCAGAGGTTTTCACAGGGTAAAAGGAGGGGAGGGTCGGAGAGTCCGTGGTGTATTTTCTTCTCCTCAGAAACACACAAGCTGGGACAAGGTTTCTTTACCTGAGGCCACAAGGAGGGTATCCCCTGTCCCAAAGAGCTGCACTTCCTACAGTTCTGTTGGGAAAGGAAGTCATTCTAGAACACCCCACCCTGATGCTGCTGGCTTTACTCCCCCGGGATGGCAAGAGAGAAGACAAAAGGAAAGAGAAGGCACGAGACACCCAGAGGGGAGAAAAACCCGGGTGGACAAGTCTATACACAAAGCAGGCACAGAGACACACCTTTGAGCACCATGTGGACACGTTTCCTCTCCCAGAAAACTTAGCTCTGCTGACAAAGGAGCAAGCCAACTTTGTCCTGGGCCCAGCCCAGCCCTCCCCGCCTCCCCCACCATGGGCCCAGCCGAGATCCAGAGGGCACTGACCAGGTTTTATTTCCAGTAGCCGCAGCTTTGGATCCTCAGGTGGGTGCAATCGTCTCTTCTTGCGCCAGCAACGGGCAGGGTATGTATACAGCTGGCCAGGGGCAAGGCCTGTGGACAAAGACAATGTAAAGATTAAAGGCTCCAGGCCGGAAGGGGCCTTGGAAACTACCCTGACTAATCCTGTCGTTCACAATGAGAGGAAACTGAAGCCCAGAGAGGTAAAGTGACTTGTTGAGGTCACACAGCCAAAGCTGATCTAAGTCATCTGACCCCAAGGCCCTTGCTCTGTCTGCCCCGCCATGCTGTTTAGCAAGCCCATGCCAACAGAGGCCATCATCTTTACCAAAGCCAGTTCTGCTCCCCTGGCATGGGAGAACATCAGCTGGACATTTAGAGTACAAGAGGAACCTTTCCAGAGTCAACCTCACCAAAGTGTCCCTAAGGCAGTGGATGCCTATCTACTGTCCCTCTGTCCAGATCCAGGGTAAGCGGGTTCCCTTCAAGGTGGAGCATCAGAAGTCAGTTGGCCTACCCTATGGACAGCCTGGAGTGAGAAGCATTTCAAGGAAAACAGAACCAAAAAATCCAGATCTAAAATACTTACTGGCTTCTCCCACCCACCGTTAGCTGCTGGCAGCTCATTGCAGCTAAAGGAAGCCCTGTGTGGCCTCCAAAAGAGGTCCCACAGGTGGCCAGGCTCCATGGTCTGCAGAGCCAGGATGCTAGTAGGTCCCTGTCTACCTGCCGGGGCCTTACAAAAAGAAACAGGCAGAAGTCCAGTGGCTGGGCTTACACAGCACACTGTCTCCCAACAAGAGTCTCCATCTGTATGTGGCCTTTGACACCACCAGCATCGTTGTCATGCCAGGCACCCCTTGGGGAGCCTTCTTCCTCATCGGACAACACTTTTGTGGCTCCTATGGCATATAATGTGACAGTCAAGTCTTCAGAGGAACATGGACTCTCCACACTAGACCTCAGTCTATTCCCAGAAAAAGGGGAGGGGTGGAGGCTGAGGGAAGAAGAGGCAGGTGCTTAAGACTGACTCGGTGATTTGCAGTCTACAAAGACAGTCTGACACCCCCTTTCATAAACCAGCAAGCCAACCAACCCCTGCTACAATGAAAAGCCCAGTGAGAGTGGACTTTTCTTTCTTGTTCTAATCAGAATCCCCAGAACCACAACTATGCCTGAAACAAAGAAGAACCAAAGGAAACATGTGTTGACTGAATACGTTCCAGCTTGACTTTAAAGTCAGAAGTGTCTTCAGTAGGTACATGTGGGGCACATCACAGCTATCAGATGCAGACAGCCTCCCGCGAGAGTATCACTGTACACACCCAAGACCACGGGGTTCAGAAGACATCAGGACTCAATTCTCATCTGCTGGCTTCTATTTTAGGGCCCTAAGAAGTTAAGAGGGGAAACTGACTTCATTTTTTTCTTGCCTTTGGAGAGAAAATCTACAGAAGTTTCACTGCTACATATCCATTCATTCATTTTCAACAGTCATTCTACCCGTGGATAAGGTTGGGTCCAAAGCAGAATCAACTATCCCAGCATTAAAAGAACCAAAATCTTCAGGTCTCTCTAAGTGCTAAGTATCACTTTAACCACGTTGCTGCTACCACACTTCACAAGACTGTGAACAAGTTGGAGGTTCTGATCCTTCTCCCTCTGATTCTTAGAAACCAGAGCAGAGCCAGACTCAGAAATGCAAGAATTGAATGACCACTGGCCCTGCTGTTCCTAGCTCCAGGAGATTCATCCCTGTAGACCCAAACCATCTAAGAAGGACTCTGGAAGCAGGGCTCAGAACCAAGCCCAGAGCCCACTGCACCCACCCCAGCATGGCAATCTCTGGGCCTTAGCCTCCCTTGTTGCCACATAGGCTGCTTCATGGTATCGCCAACCTGATCAAAAGCAGGTCAGTAAAAACGAGTCAGTCCAGACCAGCACTCTCAAAAGATGGAAGCAGCAAGAGTTCAAAACTGTCAACGCTTGTCCAGGTCCTACATCCTCCCTGAGACAGCAGTCCCTGTGCTTGTTGGTCAGTGGCCTGAAGGCAGCCTCAGGCCACTCCCCTTGTAGCTGCAGGCCCATTTTTCTGGGAGAGTCAATTTTAGTAAGCAGTTTGAATGCCCTGAAGAGGGGACTGTTTGTTTCATTCTTTCTCTGGTGGACTGGAGAAGCTCCACGATGCAGAGGCAGAGCACATGCATCCTGGGAAATATCCTAATGCCTTTCTGAGCTTGTCTTCTTACCTGTAAGACAGGAGTTAATAATAGCTACCTTATAGGGATTGTCATGGGGATTAGCTTACATTCAAGAGGAAGCTCTCTATAACCATGAAGATGACAAATGACAGTTGTTAATCATCACAAGTAAGCTGACCTAGACAAGTCTTGGACTCAATGCCCACGTGGTACATAGTGTGACAAGGCCCCCACCCCCACCCCACCCACCTTGCAGCTGCATGGTCCTTTAGCCACAAGGAGGGAAGACAGGCTTCTTGTTGATGTCTGCTTTGAATCCACCTTGTCTCAACAAGCAAATGGCCCCAAGAACTCTCTAGGGGCTCCTTGCCCCCTTCCTTGCCCTTCTTGCTAGGCTGACAGGCACCAGGGTTCCTTCCCAGGAAAATACATTCAGCCCTGGAGTTCCACTTACACAGGGAAGAGCCGGGCCTCGTGAGACTTGTGTTGTTTATCTCATTAGAACAGGAGGCACATAACTCAAAGCCCGTGTGTGTGGTGGATGGAGGAAGGGTGAGAGGAGGATGGAGTCACAGCTGCTGTCAGGGAAATTAACCTTGAGGAGTAAGCCTGGGGCTAAGGGTGGGGATGAAGGAAGGAAGCAGGAGGCTGGAGAGGGGAAGCCAGGCCTCCCTGGTAACCAAGGCCACCGCCACCCTTCCATTGACATTCCCCACTGAGCAAACTGCTTTTCTGTTACTTTGAGCTGCAACTCCAGTTACAACACTCATGCCCACGTGCAAGCAAACGCATGATGAACCCACACACACACACACACAAACACACACACACACAGAAACTCGCACACTTGCTGGGAGAACTGGCTTTGTGGAAAAATCCAGCATGACGGGCTCAATGCCTGTGTGGTCGGCAGACGCCAAATAGCTTGTTATATACATTGCTCAAGTTCAGCAGGTAGACACCGAGTGTTCTAAACATCTCTGACAAAGCGAGAGCTATTAAGAATTCAGAAGATAAAATGGGATAGAAAAGAGAGGGAAGGATGATATGAGATGGAGCAGCAATAGAAACGGGGAAGAAAAGAACTGGAGTGGCTTCCTCTTCTCTCACCCAGAGTTGAACTGTGGCCATTCAAGCCTGCCCAGGGAAGGGCTCGCCCTTCAGCATTTCAGAGAGGGGGACCTGCAGCTGCCATTGAACCTTCCCTGCAGTGGAAAACTCACTGTGTCACAGGACAGACTGTCCCACTGTTGGCCAACTCTTACTGTGATAAAGAGATTCACCACACCCTGATTCTGAACCAAAATCTACCTTCCTATAACTTATGTCAGTTTGTCTGCTCTGTGTCCCAACAGTGATTAAGAATCCTCTGCATCCCAGCTCTCCATCCCAAATATCCTCTTGGGTTTGAAGGGGAGCTAACCAAGAAGCCGAGGAACTAGAGAGGAACAGGGGTTTGAGGAAAGCGGTGGTGACAACCACCTCTCAGACAGGTAATAGGATTGAAGCTTCCAAATTAAGAATCCAAACTCTGCTGCCCTTTTGTTATCTTCCCCCCTCCTACCCAGTCCTAGACAGGAAAGGCGGCTCCTCTCCAGGCCATCAGCACCCTTTAAAGAATCCTCCAGGTGCTGCTCCCACCATGTGTCACCACAATAGGTCATTTACAGCCTCCATTCTTATAAAGAGATAATGACATGAACCAGGGACTCGTCACCAAGACTGCACATCAGAAGTGCACAGGTTGTTACTGAAAAGGGCATATGCCTGGCCCCCGGCCCAGTCCTACTGAACCAGCATATCAGAGACACACCAAGGCACCTGTAGCTGGAAAAACTCCCACATTGGGAACTCTGTGCTAGACCAAATCTTACTCATATGTACATGCCCAGGGCCTACCCAGCACACAGTAGGTGCTCTGTCCGTGTTTGTAGTTGAAACACCAAGTTGGACCACCTCTACAGAGTTTGAGACATGAGTAACAAGCCCCCAGGTGGGGCTTGAGGAGTGGGCAAGGTTATTTCACAAGCACTTACACCAGTGGCGTTTCCTTGGTGCTCTGCCCTCCCCTCTTCTCTTGGCTTATGTAAGAGCTGTCCTGACTTCAAGGGTACCACCTCTTCAGTGATGCCTTCCTGAGCCATCCTAGGCCACAGTCTTTTCCCTTCACTGGAAATCCGGAGTCCTGAGCACTTGGCACCACGCTCCAGGGCTCAGCGTGGCTCCGTCTGCTCACCAACCATCCCCTTCCTGCCTGCCTTCCTGTTGCTCTCCTGGAGTTTCCCTCTGCAATTCCAGTGTTCCTTGTGCAAAGACTACCCAGGCAAGGTAGACCTCAAGTCGAGAATTCTGCCCACCACTTCTGGCCCAGGGGTTCCCAGGCCCTTCACTGGACCCATCACACTCAAAGCTAACACAGTAACAATAGCTACTATTTGCCGGGCTCTTATTCTGTACGAGGCTGGCACCGTCCACTCACTGCTATCTCATCTTGGCAACAACCCTATGAGACATTTAAAGGCTGACGATCATGAGGTGAACAGTGATCAAGTAACTGGCCCAAGGTCACACAGCTCCTACGGGGAGTCGAGTGCACAGCCGATGCTCAGAGCCTCTCCACTATCCTACCCAAATCCCCACTGAGCCAGACACCGCAGGACTAAAACTCAGAGTCCTGCCCTGACGAGAAAACAGATCTCCACACCAAAGCCAGTCCTCAACCCACCACCCAACCCATCAAGCCACTTCATGCTACCATGTCACCAACTACAACTGCTCAGAGAGAAATGTATCCTGGCAATATAAAAGCAGTATAAGAAGGAATATAAAAATAGATGAAGCAGAAAACCTACTAGGACATACTTTCTAAATCCACCGGGAAAATTTTTTTAG